TAGAGTTTGTTTTCCTTTTTATGCAATAGGTAGGAAGATATATAGGAAAGAAAACGATGAAGATAGGCAGTTGTTTAGTAATACTCAATACAAAGAAACTTCAGTTTCCTGCTACATAACTTGTGTTCTGGTTTTCATGTATTGCTTGTGATCATTTTTGTAGGTTGTGGCGATCCGGTGGCATCATAATATCATTGACAACCAATTTTCATAAAGCTCTCAACAAATGTAGTGATGCTTCAAGAACATTTCAAGATCTATCCAGTCTATAATTAGACTTTTATTCTTTGGGCAAAGTCTTAATTTTGACAAGGCAATAACATTTTAAATTCAAAATTTATAAATAACTCTTTGTTCTTTACACGAGGGGAAGAGGAGAAAATGTGAAAACTTGAGAGCTCTATTTTCCCCTCCAATGTTGTCACTACCCAAGTTCTTGCCGACCACAACCACCATCACCCACCAACTACGGACCCTCTGACCACTGTCACATGCTGACTACAATCCCTTCGCCCATTTGTTGTCCACTGACTACAAATCGTTGCTTTTTGACCCGATCCCTCTAACCATCGCCGCCCGTTGATATAGTCTCACCGCCAATCATTGCTGATTATATTCCCTCCTACTATAGACATATGCCGATTGTAATCCTTCCAACCACCATCAACTACGACCCTATTGACTAAACAAACATGCCAACGCTCTCTTAATAATAACTACCATGTAATGTGCTTAATACAATGTGTATTTGCTAGATTGAGCCATCAGTTTTCTTAAAAGGAGATGTATCAATTGTAATCAATTATTAAATTTAGTGATTCATTCAAACTAGGTCAGACTTCTTTGTTTTTTGTTTTTTTTTAGTATATTCACGTAAAAAATTTGGTATCACTTGTGAATGTTGCACAATACTCTTTTTATCAATTTGTGTACTAAATCTTCGTACAATACTATGATGTTAAACTTTACATCTCTCTATCGTCATGAATATTCTAGGACACAACAATAATTATTGAGCCCTACACAATTGTCCATAAATTAACGAACACTAACATACAATTGGTCGTGTTGGAGGCAAACTTCATTGTGTTGCAAGAATATTATCTATCAAGTGGCCTCATATAATAGTTAAATGATCTTAATTCTTAATTTAATACTCCTCCATATCTTGAACTATAATCCAAGAATGATATCTTAGACTAGTTAGGAAATTATTCATGGGATGTTTTATTTTATATGTTACCAATAGCATCTTATTTTATTCTCCATACAATATATGACTGTTGTTATTTATAGTAATGTCCATCTTAGAAGCATAAATAAAGTTTTTTTGAATGGTGAAGTGGATCTAACATAAATACATGTCTCTTTATTTACCAATAAGCATAAACATATCTTGAAAATTGATTTATTGAAGGCTACATTTATTAAATTAATACTTTTAGAGTAGTATGATCATTCCATGTATTTAATAACATTTAATCGTACTTATTGACATTAAAAATTAATCTTTGAAGCTGTCTCAAGAAAACTTGTAATGGTCGAGATATATCTCAAGCGTCACATTTTTTCGTAAGAATTTTCCCTTGAGTTTTTATTAGAAGTAGAAAATTTATTAAAAAATATGTTCAAATAATTATTTGGTAACGTCACGTTTATGAGTAAAATTTCTTTTAATATTCACTAGAAATTCTAGGGTCACGAAGTTCATCCTTAACAACCTCCATATCCTTCTTACACCAACTAAATTTCGAATCACATTTGCCTCTAGATGGAGGATCATCATAAATATATTTAGCTTGCTATTGCTATCTTATTAGTCGCCTAATCGAATGCCACACTTTTTTTTTAGAAGAAGCCATTTTTGATATTATCAATAGCTTTTTTAACATTTTTTGTCTCCTGATTGGCCTATCAAATCTTATAGTACTGCCTTGTCTATCGCCCATAGTTTTGTTCAAAAGTCCATGAGAAGCATTGTCTTACAATGCTCAACAACCTCATTGACTTTTTAATGTCGCTTCATTCATCATAGTTGATGCTATCAAGAATTTATGTACTTTTTATTTTATTTGAACAATAGAGTATTTTGTTTTATTTTCTTTTTTAGATATCCAATGATGGGAAATCATCCAATGATCATGGTAGGTAGTGCATATGGCTTGGTAGACCCTTGGTTTGCTAGCTCGATTGGTCCCTGGTTGCTGGTAGTTCACGGGTTGGCTGTTTTGGAGCATTCGGTTTTGAGCTTGTTCTCTAAGATGATTGAGCTGAAGTTTAGTAGCTCTTTAATTCTCAAAAGGTACCTCATTATGAAGCTTGCTTTTGGAGTGGCCTTGTCCCTTCCCCCTCCCCTTTTCTTCTTATCTTTTGGAAAACCGTGGCCTGCTCTTAATGGTGGCTGAATTCAATACATAATATTAATGTGGAAGTTATTGATTTTAATGCTTTACCTTTGGGAATTCAGCCAGCCTTTGTTTTTCCCGAACTGGGATGCTTTTCCCGTAAATAAGAAGCTTTGATTTCTGGCGGGCTGCTTGCTTATCGAGACATGGACTCCTTGGTTCCGTGAAATTGCCCTTTGATTCCTGTTCTGGTTTTATGAAGGGCTGATTTCCGAATGGGCATTTGGAAAACCTATGATGCATTATGCTTGGGATGTTGTGAGCATTATCTCAGGTGGCTTTTGACATTCCTGTTCTATACCTATAAATATGATATGATGAAGTGAAGGAGGAGAGTTGATATTTTGTGAGCATATTTGCTATTAACCTGCGGGTTTATTCGAAAATCCTACGGGCTCTTTCCAACATTCTTTTCTTATCTTATCCGAAAATCCTGCGGGCTCTTTCCACCCTTTCTTCTCGGGCTTCTAACCTCTTCGTCTCTCCGCAAATGCTACTCTATCTGTATCCTTCTTCTCAACAGTTATCCTTCTTCTCAACAGTTATCCTTCTTCTCAACAGTGAAGCAACTTTAGGGTGTCGTGTCTTGTTTGATTTGGAAGCATTTGGGCTAGTCTTGCAGTGGTGGACCATCGGTTTGCTAGTTTTATGCACTTTACTTATTTAACCTACAAATTCGATGCATGTGAGGAACCTGCTCTGACGGTTGTCTGAGGATAACGTATTTTAGATTTCTTTATTTCTTTAAAATCTCCTAGTATCTTTTATTGTGTTTGTCAAATTTTGGGTCGTTTGATTTTATTTAATAAAGTTTGTTTTAAGTTTTACTCATTATGTCAGTTTCTTCTTGTGTGTCTACATCAATTTGGCTTACCAAATTTTGAAAAAAGTTTTTGAAGTTGATTGCGATGCTTCACATGTTGGTATTGGTGCTGTTTTAAGTCAAGACGGAAAACCTATTGCATATTTTAGTGAAAAGCTAAATGATGTTCGATCTCGATATTCTACTTATGACTTGGAATTTTATGCCATTGTTCAAGCTTTGAAATTCTGGAGATGCTATCTGATTCAACGAGAATTTATTTTGAATACTGATCACGAGGCTTTACGATTTTTTGGATCATAAAAAAATCTAAACAAAAGACACACCAAATGGGTTTCTTTTTTACAAGAATACACTTTTCATGTCAAACATAAAACTGGAGTTTTGAATAAAGTTGCTGATACTTTAAGTCGAAGATCTCATTTGATGATAACTGTTTTTCCGACTGTTACTTCTTTTGATTTTTTTAAAGACACTTATGCAAATGATTCTGATTTTAAAATAATTTGGGATGCTTGTTGTGCTTCTGGAACTGACCCTTCTGCTCAATTTGTTATACATCAAGGTTTCTTATTTAAGGGAACTAGACTTTGCATATCAAAAAGTTCTTTGAGAGAACAACTTGTGAAAGAATTGCATAGTGGAGGTTTGGGAGGACATTTTGGGCAAGGAAAAACAATTGCTTTAGTTGAAGAAAAATATTTCTATTCTGAAACCGTG